CTCAAGCCTGTAATCCCAGCACTTTGGGAGGCCGAGGCGGGTGGATCACGAGGTCAAGAGATCGAGACCATCCTGGTCAACATGGTGAAACCCTGTCTCTACTAAAAATACAAAACATTAGCTGGGCATGGTGGTGTGTGCCTGTAATCCCAGCTACTCAGGAGGCTGAGGCAAGAGAATTGCCTGAACCCAGGAGGCAGAGGTTGCTGTGAGCCGAGATCGCGCCATTGCACTCCAGCCTGGGTAACAAGAGCGAAACTCCGTCTCAAAAAAAAAAAAATAATAAATAAAATAAAAATAAAAATACAAAAATTAGTTGGGACTGGCGTCGCAAGCCTGTAATCTCAGATACTAGCGTAGCTGGGCAGGAGAATTGCTGGAACCCGGAAGGCGGAGGCTGCAGTGAGCTATCCTGCCACTGCACTCCAGCCTGGGCAACAGGGAGAGACACTGTCTCGAACAATAAGATGAAAAAAAAAAAGAAAAAGAAAAAAAAAAGAAAAGGAGAAAAGAAAGAAATGCAAAATCTCAGATCCTATCTCAGATCCTACCTCAGACCTATAGAATCAGAATTTGTATTTTAACAAGATTCCCAGGTGATCCTAGGCACCTTCAAAATTGAGAAGCATGGCTTGACTTGACTGGGCTCCCTGAGGACAGGGAGTGCCCTGTTTATCTCAAATCCTCAGCTTCCAGCACAGGGCCCGGCACATAGCAGTTCAAATCTGGATGAATGAATGTCAGAACCAAAGGACTAAAACATGTTCAGAACCAAGGGAAACCGTTGGAAAATCTTCAGGGTGATCCGGGGTGTAGAAGGGGGTGACCAGGTCCTAAGACGGACCTTTTTCCTGAGAGCCCTGCTTCAGCAAAACAGCCATTCCCTCCTGGCCATTCCACCTTCTTTGGAAGTGCATCCCTCTCCAGCTTACCCCTGCCTGCCTCGACAACAGATGTCAAGGACAACTGCTTTGTGCCAAGGCTTGGAAATTTGTGAATTTCCGTTCCTTTTGCTTTTACAGTCTCAAGCATGGATGTGAAGATCAGGGTAATAATAATTACTGTTGACACGTACTGAAGGCTATGTGTCACATATTGTATTAAACTGTACATCTCATTTAATCTTCAAACAACTCCATGACGTAGATAATTATCATTTCCATTTCACAGAGGAGGAGAGGAAAGGACAGAAACATTAAGCAGCCTGTCCAAGGTCAGGCAACTATGTTAATAGAGCTGGCATTTCAACTAGTCAGTCCGGCCTCACGGTTAAGCTACTTAACCTTAGGTGCTATTATACCCTTTTTACAGGTACCAAAATTAAGGATCCGAGAAGTTAAGACACTTGCGCGAGGTTACACAGCTAGTATGCTATTAACATTCAATTCAGAAACTGGAAGTCTGGTTCACAAGCCTGAGTTCTGAATCACTGAGACTAAAGGGTAGTGGGATACAGGCCAGAGCCCGGGAAGTTGTACAGGATCAGGAGCCCAGGCCACCAGACCCGCCCCTCCCTGGATCTCCCTCCGGGCTGCAGTGTAGTCGGCCGCTTTCTGCCCCAGAGCGCCGGAGGTTTGAAGCCTCCTACCTCCTACATTGGGAGATGGAGATCCTGGGGGCCTCGGGCCGAGCCCGGCTTTGCTCCCCTTTGGCGCAGGTGCCTGCGTCTTGACCCCTACTGAAGGCCAAGTAGAGAACCCTCACAAGGGTCCTGCGACCCGTCCGCCCCAGGCCTAGCCCGCCCCGGGCTTCTCAGCTCCGCGCCCTCACATCCTCCGGTTGCCTGGCGGTTGCTAAGATATCGCGGGCCGTTGCGCCGGTGCGGACTGATGATGTCAGCGCTGCTTCCGGTCCGTGGCGCTGCGCTCTGGCCGAGCCAGGTCAGTCCGGGAGTGTGAGCTGGCCCACCCCGGGCTCTGGGCTCCGAAGCCAGGGGTGGGCCCTGCCAGGAGTGGGCTTGAGCCTCGCACGTCTTTTGAAACTACCCTGTGCTCTGCCTTTGCGGCGCGACGGGCATGGGAGCGGGGCTGCCCAAAGGTGGGCTGGGGCTGGAGGAAGTGACTGGGTAGCTGCTGTGTGTCTGTCCTGAGGCCGTAAGGCCCCTGACCCCACCCTTGGAGCTGGCGACGGAGAGAGCCTGTTTCCCCTAGACAGTAGTGTAGGTTCCAGAGACCTGGGCCTGAGCTCTCCGCTTTGGTACTTCAGGGGTCGTCTGGATTGTGCCGGACCTGCGACCCTGCCGTTGTTTTCTTTCCAGCATGATCCGCTGGGCTCCCGGCACATCTCCTGGAAGAGCCCACTCACTCTGGACGAGCTCTTCGGTAGCCTCAGATCGTCCTTGAAGAGGATGACTGAGACATTATGGGCCACGCGCTGTGTGTCTGCTCTCGGGGAACTGTCGTCATTGACAATAAGCGCTACCTCTTCATCCAGAAACTGGGGGAGGGGTGAGTGTTTAGAAGTCAATTAACTAGTCCTCAAGCTTATGGTCATTGAAGGGCAGCGGTCTGCACATGTTTGGGGCACAAGGGTTTTATCCCTATCCCTGTCCTCTCTCACCTGACAGAGCTTAGTTACACGGTATCAAGAAGGTGAATCCTGGAGTCAGGCCTGCTAAATCCACTTCGTGTGACCTTGATAAACCATGTTTCTTTCCGTCTGCTTAATGGAGATGATTATCATGCCTCACTGATGGAGTTGTGAGGATTAAATGAGATAATGTTATAAAATGTCTCACCCAGTGTTTGGTTCATAAGTACTTGATAAGTGTTGGCTATTATTTACTTCTGTCAGGTGCAGAGCTCTCTATGATGACCATGGGACCTCAAAGATTTCTATATCTCTGCTCCTGAGGAGCTCACAGCGTAATATTCTTCAGATTTCACTTAGAGCCACATCTTGGGAGGGTTTCTGCTAAATGGGAAGAACACCCCACTCCCCACCAGGAAATTTCTCTAGGTCCAAGCCATGTGGGAGATGACCATGGCCCTTCATTGACCCCTTTGGCCCACAGTGGGTTCAGCTATGTGGACCTAGTGGAAGGGTTACATGATGGACACTTCTACGCCCTGAAGCGAATCCTGTGTCACGAGCAGCAGGACCGGGAGGAGGCCCAGCGGGAAGCCGACATGCATCACCTCTTCAATCACCCCAACATCCTTCACCTTGTGGCTTACTGTCTGAGGGAGCGGGGTGCTAAGCATGAGGCCTGGCTGCTGCTACCATTCTTCAAGGTCAGAAAGACTCTTGGTTATGGAGGGGGTTGCAACAGAGGCACGTACCCAAGGGCTGTGTAAGCAGCCCAGCATGTTAGGAAGCAGGGACCACGTCCTGGGTTTGGCCACTTTGGATTTGGGGTTTGAGGTGTGTGTCATGAAAGGGCCGATAGGCTTTGACACGTGGAAGGGATCAGGCCTAGGGAGCAGAGACTCCAAAAACATCTCCAACTGTAGGGAAACTTGTGTTGCAGAGAGGTACACTGTGGAATGAGATAGAAAGGCTGAAGGACAAAGGCAACTTCCTGACTGAGGATCAAATCCTTCGGCTGCTGCTGGGGATCTGCAGAGGCCTAGAGGCCATTCATGCCAAGGGTTATGCCCACAGGTTAGTGGGAGGACCCTGTGTGCTTGCTGGGGCCCAGAGGAAGAGCTTCACTAAGAGAAATGGGAGGTCTCTGTTCTCTCAAGAAACAGCCTGCATGATTCTTTTGCTCGCTGGGATTCCAGGCTTCCTGTCCAGAGATGTCCACCTCATTTCTACTTCCCTACAGAGACCTGAAGCCCACCAATATATTGCTTGGAGATGAAGGGCAGCCAGTTTTAATGGACTTCGGTTCCATGAATCAAGCATGCATCCACGTGGAGGGCTCCCGCCAGGCCCTGACCCTGCAGGTAAAAGAGTCTCCATGCTCCTTTTCTCACCAGTTCCCCATTCCCGCCCCTTCTGGTGCATGCCCCGGTTTGGTCCCATGACCATGCCCTGTGCCCCACTTTTGAGCTCTGGGACCACTGTTCCAGGACTGGGCAGCCCAGCGGTGCACCATCTCCTACCGAGCCCCAGAACTCTTCTCTGTGCAGAGTCACTGTGTCATCGATGAACGGACTGATGTCTGGGTGAGGAGCATGTAGGTGGGCATCTGGGTAGGGAAGGCTGTGGCTCTGTACCCGCTGTGGAGTAGAGTAAGTTGTTGGTTTCTGTTGCATGGGGCCCCAGGAGCCACAATATGTCCCCATCCACTTCAACTTCCTTCCTGGGAACTGTCACTGATACTGTACCCAATTGCACCGGATGTGGTATAATCCCTGCCCCTGAACAGGGTGAATACAGCTCAGTGTCAGTACTGAAGGCACTGGCTAAGCAGGGGCTGCAGAGGCCTCTGGCTGACTGGCAGTTTCTCTGGGCCCTGGCGGTGCCATGTGGCTGAGGTCAGCATATTCTTTTTAGCTTATATAGTCTCCTTTTACCACAGAAGGAGAGAGAGGTCACCTCCATTGGTCCCTTTCTAGGGACTAACCAAGTTATACTCAGTCCCTAGGCTGCGTGCTATATGCCATGATGTTTGGGGAAGGCCCTTATGACATGGTGTTCCAGAAGGGTGACAGTGTGGCCCTTGCGGTGCAGAACCAACTCAGCATCCCACAGAGCCCCAGGTGAGCAAGCAATGAATGGGCACCAGGTGTTTCAGACTCCCCCCTGGTTTTAGCTGAGTTGGCGGATAGGCATCATCCAGTCTCCCTGAGCTCCTCCCTCCACAGGCATTCTTCAGCATTGCGGCAGCTCCTGGCCTCGATGATGACCGTGGACCCACAGCAGCGTCCTCACATTCCTCAACTCCTCAGTCAGCTGGAGGAGCTACAGCCCCCAGCTCCTGGCCAGCACACTACCCAAATCTGAAAAAACAGTGGCATGTTGAGAAGGTGATCCCTCATGCCTTAGAAAGAGGT